AAAATCTCTGGCTTCCATTTAAATGCTTAAAAAAAATCTCTGGCTTCCATTTAAATGCTTAAAATTATTTTTCGGTTGTTAAATCTTGTCCTTGAATTTCTAATTTATAACAGAAAACTCTTCATTCAACTCCTACTATTATTTTAAGAAATTCTCTCTCAGACATAGAACATCCCCAAACAACACCAAATAAGATAAAGATGTTTTATTTATAGAAAACTCACAAGGTTTGATTGCCATGGCTTTCTGTATTCCCAGGGCAGGGGGTATAATGTATTCCATATTTTGCTGCTGTTTTCCAGTAGTAAACGTGTCAACGTTTCACATCGGCACTATAAAAGTTAGCGAGATAGTTCTGATGAATAGCAATAAGGCCAGAGAAAGAATGATGCGTAACATGAATTCCTCGGGAAATCAATTAATATTTTTATGAGCAGTGGTAAAAATATGATCAAGGGTTAGCAGAGAGAGAGGTCACGCTTCTGAACCTCAAACATATTCTTCGTTGAATTCTGTTTATCCAAGTGCAGATATTCTGCACTGTGTCAAAGCTAGCATCTTGGTGCTCCAAGGGAGGGAGTCTTCATTTGAAGGGCAGCCTTCAATTAGCTTCCTAAGTGACTTTCTGTGGATCTCTGAACTTCATATATTTTGGTGTTTTAAATTATGTATTACGTGTATAAGTAAAACACTGCATATTTTATATTTTTTGAAGAAATTTTGCTGAGGCAAGGTAAGCAATTCTAATACTGGGGTCAGTGATGATTAATATTTGAAAATAAAAGTGACAGTGTGCTCAGCTTACTTCTTCATTGTTAAGATCCATTTCATTTGTTCACTTATTCAATAAATGTTGAACTCCACATGCATGAATTTACCGAGAACAAGAATATTGAGAGTGAGGACAGGAACATCAAGGCAAGAAAGAAGTGAGACACTTGAACTTGAATCCTGGGAAGTGGTACTTAAGCTCAAATAATTCTCTATAATGGTAAAAATTTTCCTGCGACCATCACGCATCTATCAGGACTTTCCTGGATGGACTGGCATTATCATTTAAATGGAAATCTTTATCTTCCTTTATTAGCTAATGGACATCGCTCTCTGGGTAATAGTTAAGTCTAGGGTACAGGAGAGCAAAGGGTCAGCTAATGTGATTTTCCAGTGACCATGACTGTATGTTTGAATAAAAGAGTCATAAATTCTGACCTCAGCACCTATTTTAAAAAAGCCAAAGACCATCAAAATGCTGAAGTTTGTGTCTTCAGAGGGAAACTGTGTACATGAATAATCGTGGCTGTTTGGGGGACCATCCAGGCATGCAGTGGTGGGCTGACTGATGAGAAGCTGAGAACCACCTGGTCTGGAGCTCAGCACACAGGTGTGTCTCAGGTCTAACAATGCATGTCCACGGGCACGTCACAATGTTCCTGGAAGGCTGAGTTTTTAAATTCTGTGAATGACAGGGAATTTGGTTCTTGATCTTTCTTACACGTGAGATCCTTTTGTAACATCAAGCATTTCTTGGATACCCACATAACAAGAGGTGATAGTCAAGGAAAAATTAACCACAGGTGGCTGTGCAGATATCTTACGATAAACCTGTGAACTACAACCTGAGAACCATGTTCAAGACTCTAAGATTCTTCCATAGCTTTGCGGTCAACGGCTCTCCTTGAACCCTGAATAGGGTGAGGGGCTCGCTGCTCCCCAGGCAGCCCGTTTTGCGGCTGCTGTCCATGGTGCTGGAGCAGAGGCTGAGCAGAGATTCATCTTCCTCTAACTCCTACTTCCTGGGCCCTGTTCCGCCTCTGAAACAACATAAACTGCCCACGATTTCTTCCACATAGCAGCTTTCCATCACCACCCTTAATGCCAGAAAAGACTGGCAGCTTATAAGGTGTACAAATCACAGCAAAACAGCATCTACCAGGGAAAGGGGAAGAGAAAGAAGCAAGAACGTGAAGTCAGGAAAAAAGCTTCAAAATCCATTCTATGCCCATTTCTTTGTGATAGATGGCCCACAGATGTGGCTGTAGGTTTGCTAGGAGTCAGCTTTCAGAGGAAACCCTCAGGAGCTGCACAATTCACGATGTCCTCAAGGATAACTTTCCTCAGGACAAGGATATCAGACCTGCAATAGGCACCATGGTTCCTCACAGAAGAGCCCAATGAGATGTCCCCAACCACACACATCAAGTTCCCCATGCAGTGACCACAATATGAACAAATGACATCACCCTAAATTACAGTGTAGGAAGAGCAAGTATTTGAAGGGCTAAGATAGTGAGGCCTAGGGACCTAACTCCCTGTGCTAGGTCTGGCTTGATTCAGGGGTATATTCTAGAATATTTGGAAGAGAAGATCAAATAAATGTCTTGTAAGTAATTTTCATTGAATATTGGGTCTTTTAGGTGAGCTTTTGATAAACATTGATTAAGCTTTTAATTAAACATTAAATAAATATGCACTTTATGCCAGGCATTGTTTTAAGCTTTTCACACCAAATAGCTCATTTAATATTCATACTAGTCTTATGCAGAGTAATTTATACTATACCCTATGTTAGAGGTGAGGAGACTGAGGCACAGAAAGATTAAGAGCACTAGTAGTTGATGGAGCCAGGATTCGGACTTATGTCATAGAACTCAGCCTTCTTTGTAACCACTACAGAATTCCAAAGGCATGTAACATCCTTAACATGTTGGATTAATACCTTTCCTGAAAGTTGAGGATTTGAAGACAAAGAGCAGTGATGAGGTCAGTGTATCTCATTTGAGAAGCTAAAGCAATGGGAATTGATGTAAGCCAGAGAAAGAGCATTTTCAATGGGGGTTGAGGCAAAACAGGTAGGAAGTAAAGGAAAGTATGAACTTAGGCACAGACTATAGAGAAGAATTTCACTCCATTCTTTTCTCAGCTTCTTCAGATTACAAACTATAGTGGTTCAGAATACGTCCATGAATTCCCAGGTACACTTTCCTTTAAGATGGAACCTGATTTCCTTCCCTTTGCAGGTGGGCTGGATCCAACCCCTCAGTGCTAATAAGTGGCACAGAGCAGAAGTGATGGCACAAAATGTTGGAGAGCAGGTCACCATGGCTTCCTCTCTGCTCTCTCTCTCCTATCACTTGCTCTGGGTGAGTTAGCTGCCATTCTGGGGACAAATAGCCTAAGAAGAGGGCCATGTGGTGAGGGATTGTGACCTTCTGTCAACAGCCAGCGAGGAGCCAAGGCGTTTTTGGCCAACAGTCATGTTGATCAGCCATGTTGGAAGTGGGTCTTCCAGCCCCATTCGAGCCTTCAGTTGACTGCAACCAAGCATGACTGCAATCTCATGAGAGACCCTGAGCCAGAACCACCCAGCTAAGCAACACAGGAATTCCTGAGCCTCAGAAACCACAAGGCAACAAATTTTTATTAATCCAATGGCTAAAATTTGGGGTTATTTTTACGAAGGAAGAGATAAGTAATAGATAAACCCATAAGCACACTTCCCCAAATAACAAAACGGAACAAATGAAAATAAGATAAAACTCACTACCTAGAATTTCCAAAGACAAAGAGCTATTCTGAAGACAGCCATCCTTCTTTAGGTAAGGTTTGCCTCCAAACTGTTTTTACCCAAAGACAGTTAAGCAATTCAATTCACTTCTGAAGTAATTTCCCATGATTTGGAGTTTAAATATGTGTGTTACTTATAATGTCACACTGTGTAAAACAAGGGAAGAAAAAGATGTTCAAGACTTAAAATTACATCAACCCTCCAAATTCTTAGAGCAAGGCGAACAGCAACTAGCAGAAGACGGGCCAAGGAGACCCCCCCTCAGCTGAACAGAATGGAATGATGGGAGCAATTCACGGACAGAAGTATATAGTTTAACCATTAGTTAAAAACCACCATAAGTCATTTTAAGAGAAAACGTTTGCTAGGAATTCTGATCCCAGAATCTGGCAGCTGGCTTTGGCCACACGCAATCCCTGCAGATTATACAGTAAAGGACGAAGACTGAGGCTGGAAAGGGGAGTTTGACTTACATTATTCCTAAGGCTCCCAAACACGACTGGAGTTTTCATCCTAACGCAACCACAACATTCCCCCAGAAGTATTTCCTTCCGCGTAGGCACTGTGGTATCTCATCATTTCTCGCTTTCCGCTTCCTCTACTTTATCGCTCAGCCCAGGGCTTGGTCAGCAGCACCGCGTGACCCAGAGGGAGCTTTACCAAGAGCGACAGATGCCAGTTTATGCATAGGTAACCGACAAGGGCGCAGCCAAAAATGAGGGCTGGGTGAAATGCGTGTGCCATCCATACCCCTCCTTTCCCAGAGCTGCTCATGAAGTGGCAATTTTAAAAGAAATGCTTTCCCATAAAAATTCAATAGCGTTTTATAAGCATACACACTCCTTCCTTTTCTGGCCTGCATGAAATGTAATATCAGGCTTATTACCCATTTGTCATTTTAACCTATATTTCAGTCAGCCTTTTTGCGTTTGAGTTATGCTTTCTCTGCCCTTGGCTGTCGGTTTGCAGCCACAGAGCCATTCAAGAAGCCGTGGAGGTCACACTGGTTGACCTCTTAGAACAAACATTTTCCACATTTCTTATTCCGCTTCCTGAAGAGGCCCTATTAGTTTTGCTCATCTCGATTTAAAATAATTTTTACGACACAACAACATTTCAAGTTTACCATATTAATCTTCATTTTACGTCCTGAAACACACAGGCAAACAGCGTGGCCCAGACATCACGCTAACATGAGGCCTTCTCTTCCTCGTTCCTTCCCGTCTACTGAAAGCCAGCTCGGAAGAAATCATACCTTTGTGCTCTGACTTAGCTGGGGGTTGGAGGAAGTTTAAAAGGCTGACCTCGTGATTCGCGCCTTAAACACTCCGATAGCAATTAAACCAGAAAATCGTATTTCTCCATCCAGTATACATTCCGCTAAGAACGAAAAAATCTAGCACAGTCGACACACAGGGGTGCGGCTGGTACTCACCCCGCAGCCCAGGCCGTTGGCCCCTTCACAAGTGACTCTCCTCTGGCCCGGCTCGGGGAGCAGCCCGGCCCCACAGCCCGGGCTGGGGCACAGGACACCCCCCATCTGCAGCACGCACTCCTCGGCGCCGTACTGCTGGTACCGGTTGTACTGCAAGAAGAAAGCGAGTTTGTAAAAGTGGTGTAATATACACTATGGTGTGCTGTTTCCCCAGAGCGGTGGTTCTGGTGTTTTCTGGTTAATCTGTATCAGTAAAAACTGCGGAGGGCAGGGAGCGGATAAGCTATGGTCCAACCTAGAGGAGAACGTCTCCCAGTCCCAGCCGGCAAAGCGGAGAAGCGGGGCGTTTGTTCCTTGTATTTCTAGAGATTTGTCCTCAGAAGCTAGACTCCGACTCTTCTCCTTCTCCTTCTTCAGACTGAAGTATAGTTGGTTTACAATGTTGTGTTAATTTCTCGTGTTAAAAAATAGACTTTTCCAAGTTTGGCTTTTAGCACTACTTCTACCAACTGCATTTGATAGACTTACTTCATACCCACTTCAGGGAACGTAGCTATTTTTTAGGTTATGGACACTTGCAGTGCATCATTTTCAATCCCATCAAATAGTGTATTTTCATGCCTCCGTTCAGGAGTCCCAATATTCCAGCCCCGGTCATTGTCAGCAGCCCGCACAGTATCAGTGAGCATGTTCAGCTTGACTAGAAAGACTAATGTTAAAGAACAAAATTTTCCTTTCATCATTGTTCTCCAAGCACGATTCCTTTTATCCCTGACTTCATTCCTCTGTGCCATCGCCTGGCTCATTCCCTTTCACGGCTTCCCCAGCCTGTAGGTTAAAACTCCAGCTCCGCAGCACACTTGCCCAGGTTTTCCTTCCTGCAGCCTATAGTTACTGCTCTCCTTGCATTACTTGATCATATGCTCCTCTAAACTCAGATCAAGTCAAATGGATGTGCACCACTATGAATTAATCTAGGCAACATTTACTGAGAGCCTACTGTGTGCCAGGCACTCCTGTGGGTCCTGGGACACAGCCAAGAACAAAACAGACATCTCTGCTCTCATCCTCAAGACAGTAACAGCAGAAACCAGGTTAAACTGTATCACATTTCAGATGGCGATAAGTGGAAGGAAATAAAAAGCTGAGAAGAGACAGAGACAGACTCCGGCGAAGATGGGAATCACAATTTCAAAGAGGTGATTAGGGAATAGGGAATGTCTTATAAAGAAGGTATATTTAAACCAACATCTGAAGGAGATCAGAAAAGCAAGCCATGTGGGGCCTCGGGGAACGAGCTTTCCAGGCTGAAGACAGAGAATTACAAAGGTCCAGAGGCCGCCATGTGCTTGGTTGGCTTGATGGGCCAAAAAGAGGCCAGTGCATCTGAGGCAGAGTGCCTGTTATTCTGAGAGACACAGTAGCCACGGAGATGTCTGAGCTGTGGATGACATAATCTGGCTAATCTTTCAGCCATCTGGCTGATATATTCAGAACAGACTCCTGGGGACACGGATGGGAGCAGGGAGCAGAGAGGCAGGTCGGAGGCTAAATCAGCGATCCACGTGAGAGATGGTGGTGGCCCGAACCAGGAAAGTCACAGTGGAGGTGGGGATGGATCAGCAGCTGAGTTCTGGATCTATTTTGAAGAAGAAATGGCCATTTGTAAAGGCAGACTGGTACATGGTGTGAGAGGAAAAGGAGTCAAGCATGAGGTGATGTTTATCCCTGAGAGGACAGAGGACAGACGGAGTGCAGGAGAGTGGGAGACACTAGTACTGAGAGGGAAAGACCTGGCAGAAGACAGGTGTGTGTGTGTGTGTGTGTGTGTGTGTGTGTGTGTGTGTGGTAGGTGTAGAAGAA